CTGCTTCCTTTAACGCTTGACTTCGCGCAACCGTTTGCTCCCCGAACAAACCATCCATCCCACCCAGATGCACGTCTTTCAGAAGCCTGATATCAATGATTTTCTGAGGTCAACAGCCAAATGCGCCTTTAACGGCATGAGGCGTATGGCAGGCGGCATGACGTCTTCAATACAAATTCTTGAAATTCCCGCTGCGGTCAAGGCTTTTTCCCGTCTGCTACCATTCTGACCGTCTTGGCGACAGGCACCTACAGCTCGAGTTGTCGTTGAAGCACAGTCCCGCCATCCGATCGATCGAGCCATGCATCAGCCGGTTTGTCACACGGTGGCTGCTGTTGCTCCGGAACGCCGCATGCCTGTGGTCCGTCGCAAACGGCAGTATCAAAACAAATGGCCCGCACATTAAAATTGCCACCAAACAAACAAGATCAGGGGAACGCGGTTTCCGTCATCCACGGCTGTGGCTATCAACGTCTTGTAAGCCCCACAGTAGAGGCGCTCCGCCAAAGAATACGCTGAGAAAGATGGCTGCGCTATCGTAGCAGAAGTTATCTCCACCAAGAGACAGATCGAGATCGCACATGAGGCTCTGAATGATCAATACTGAGATTCGCTTGTCACTCTGGTTTTCTTCCGGACGAGGATTGGCGAGCTCATCAGCTTTTTAGCCACACAAACGAACCACTGTGACGTGTCTCGTTTCTCTTCAGAAATACTTCCCTGTAAGACCATCCTACAAGATCGTAGCCTTCAAGCCTGGATTACGTCAAGTTCTCGTGAGATTCTGGCTGGACTACTTACCCTTTTCTGGCAGTGCCTGTTGAAGAGAAAGAGAAGGTGGATATTCTAGGCCGGCCCTCGCAAGTTTGCTGTAGCAAACGCAGGCCGAGAAGGACCTCCAAGCTCATTGTGGCGCCATCGGCTCGGAGAGTAGTTCGTTGTTACCGTGGAAGCGAGACAACGAGGAGGTCGACACATTCCAGAGGGTTGGTTCCCATACGAAATCTTCTCCCGCCTTGCTTTTTCACTAGTACCCTCTCGGCTGCTAGTCAAGCGATTGCCAGCTGCAGAAGTGCAGTACTAGTCTTCCCCATCAACCCCGTTTTCTAGACGGATGACGGACGCTGAGGAAGAAGTCTGTGGATGCAGGGACGTTGTTGAGGCTCTTTCCGATCGGTTTCCCCGCATGAGGGTGCGCTTTTTTCATTGCTTCTTCGTCCCTTGCGCAGGTTTATTGACGCTGCAAGAAATCTTGATTACTCTTTCCGGCGACATGCTTGAATATGCCAAAAGGGAAAACATGAAGATCTCTCGATTCACGGAGGCCAAGCCGGCAGACTCCTCGCTTGTTGTAAACGACACACCAACGCGATTACTTCAGAGCGCGTTTGCTGCTACGCTGAACAAACTCGAGTAATGCAGAGACCCAAAGTCAAACCCTTTCTGTCCACTATGCATTCCGTTCGAGACGGAAGTCACCAGCGGGCAATCTACCATTCCTGCGAGAGCCGTCGAGGCCATGCAGCATCCGATGCCCACCGACTCGTCCACAACACACCGGGCCACATTCGGTGTCTTGCCGGGACTATGATTGGCTCCAGGCTCATCTGTCACCGAGTGTGCATATCACACGAGGGATGGCCCCTAGGCGAGGAATGTCTGAGAATTGCAGGGGATGGTCTGGTTGTCATAATCAGCCACCCGGGTGGACCAGAAGCCACGACGAGACCTCGAGTATGGAGAGGCCAAGACAAGGTGCTGCATATTTGTGCTCCTGTTGTTGTCCACCGTTGGGTGGAAGGCATATGATTCGTGCCGCCGGGCCAGCCGTGGCAGAGGAGGCATTCTCACAACTTGTCTGGGGCAGGGAGACAGGCTCCGCTCAGCTCAAGACGGTCCATGCATATATCGTTGCCTCTCCCTCGACCATGAGCGCTCCGGCCAGTATATCCATCGTGACGTTATTAATCCCAGAATTTCACATCCAGCATTGAACGAAGCCGGTGTTGCAGACGCTGACCGCAGCGATGTCTGGCGCTCAAGAGGACATGATCGGTTACGCACAGGAGCTTGACATCACGGTAGCTTCTCGACCATCATCTCGGCCATCAAGTATGGAGCGGCAAACAAAACTTGCTCATCTTAAGCTCGTTTCCAAGTATTACGGATACGCCAACTTTTCATACCCTCGACCCGACGGCACTCCCACTCGCAATCCGTATAGAAGAGCCGGGCAAACGTACTCGTCCGAAGATCTTACTCAAGACTTCGACCACCACGACTTAGCTTGCCCGGAAACACCAACCAAACGAGATCGTACTTCCATGGGCTCGCAAGGCTCCAATAGCTCAGCACCCAGTCTCATTGATGATCGGACTGATTCCGAAGTTTCACTCGACGACGACTATCAGTACCACGCTTCCGCATCTCAGCTCTGGGACACCTTCTGGCCTATTGATGAGGAAAAGACTCAGCAGACTCCAGAAAAAGCCAAGACCCAGTATCCCGCCTTGATCCCGTCACCACATATCCGAAGGGCGAAGAAAACGGGCTGCATCAACTACGAAGCTTACCCACTACCGCCCCGACCTGTTGAGTATAACATCCAGGTCCAGCACTCACCATCGCCAACCCCTTCCACCATCGAGGACCCCGTGACACAACCCCAACCACCTACAAGTATGCCACAGTCACTGGTCCCTTATCCTCCTCAGGACCCCGAGGACCCTGAGCCTCGGAGCCCTCCGGAACTTCGACGGACCATTCGTGCCGTCCGCTCTTCTTACAGCCTCTTCCCTCGTACGCAGCCTCAAGCCCCGAACTATCATCCACCACCCCCACCACACTTTTCTGCCCTCTCAACTCGACCAAGTATGGGCAATCTTCGCAAGGGACATCGTCCACCACCCATCCACCTCCATTCCATGCCCATGTCCACGGCCACGGCCACCGCCGCTCCTCTTTACTCTCCCGCCACAGCATCTCTGTTTTCTCCTCTCTCATCGCCTCTGTACTCTCCCCTGCCTTCTGATTACACGAGACCTCATACCTCGCATGGGAACTATTACCCATGTACTGCGGACCTCACCCACCCCCGTTCTGCTCCATTGCCGCCGCAGACACCGACAATAAGCACATCTTCGGGTCTGGACACGCCTAAATCTTTCTTCGACTTTGACTCCGACTCAGACTCTGATAACGAAGAGCCCGAGCACACCATCTCTCGCTTCGTCAAGACGCTGCATAAGCGGACCGCCAGCGAGACTCGTCGGAGCGCCAAGGGGGCAGCCTATGCTGATGCACAGCTCCGCAAGATCCGCGTTGAGACTGAGGCCGAGAGGATTCGGGAGAACCAGATGATGTTTGAACGACACAAGAGGTCCGGTGCCGTTTTTGGACGCATGTTTGGACGCACGCATGGAAGATCTCCAAACGCATGAAGACCATCTAGATCAATTGCGCATTACGAGCATATGGCCTAGTTACGACGGGAGGCGTCGGATCAGCCGGCATATTTGCATTTCAGCGCAGCGATTGCAGTTTACTCGTTCATCTTTCTTTTGTTTCGTTGTTTTATTTGCTTCCATCCTCATTTGTTATGTTTCCTGCTCTACGTTAACGCCTGAAATGTTCTCATTATTAGTGCCATGCTTATCATTATCTCATGAAGAAGAATACGGTCTAGGAACAATTGGGAACAAGAGGAGGATTTAGTCGGCAAGAGGAGGACAAACACAATGTACGCTGGCCATCTGGAGGCGGTTTGCGCGGGGAGGTCCCAGCAAGGGATGAGAATCCGTGTGGACCCCGGGGAAAAGAAGGTTTCCAAAGGGATGGGTTAGGGGAAGGGAGGAGGAATTTGGATCAATGAGTCAGACGGATCAACGACGAACGACCAAAAATTACGGTGAGAGCGGGGTAGACTTGTTAGTCTCCTCGTAAGGGAACGCAATATGAAGAAACAGCCCTTGAGCTCGGAGATGACTCCGTCTCCTGTTTTGCTCGTCAAGAGCAGAGGGTGTCGTCAGTCCACAAGTCCTGTCTGACGACTTGGCCATCTAGGAAGAGTAAAACAAATCAACAATAACAATAAGATAGGATGGTTTCCACAAGGTAGACTAACTAAGAGTGGGAAAGCAAATGCTTGCTCCAACTGTCTGTTCAAACAACCCAAGTAAATGGCACCTGTGCGTTGCCTTCGCAGCGCTGTCGAGGCGACCTCATCGCCACACTCGAAGTATTTGATGATGTAACATGACGATAGAAGCTGCCCACTTGTCGCTCCTCTTCTCCCAGTCGAGAAGGAATTGGTTAGAGAGCTGACTTTCAGGCGAACTGGAGTAACACACCCACGGCGGCGGGTCAGACTCCGACCGGTCCCATTCCCCCCCTTTTTCGTTTTCCCACCCCGAGTCTCAATTCTCGACTTGTTGCGAAGCCTTTTTCCCCCCACGTGAAAGAGAGATCTAGACTCTGAGTTGCTGGAGCAATGCGCGACGGTGTGACATGTAGAGGGAGGAGAAGACAACCGCTTACGGGCGTTGGGACAAATAAACAACCTTTTCGTTGGCTCGTTGGTTTCCGCTCTCGTGTAAGCCGGAGGGAGCCGAGAAAGGGTGGAGGGAGGGGGGTGAGCTCGCTTCGGTTCGGCGGGATTGTATCCGTAGGCGAGAATAGCGAAGATGGCGAGGCTCCGCGAGAATTACGACGAGGTCTGAGGAGGGAAGATGGAGGGTCGTTGGCGGGAAAGTCTGATGGGCGAGTATTTGGAAAGCGAGAATTCCAGTCTCTGTGCCTAGAATTCAGAATCGCAGAAAAGAGTTTTCGTCTTCTAAAACGGGATGGTGAGGTATGCTGTAAGGCAGTCTGTCTGGAGGTGCATATTCGGGGGGACGTTCGACTCGCTACTAGAGGCTTCTCAGACAGCACATGGATCGAAAGACAAGGCAAGTCACGCGATGGGAAGATGGGTGACGATGATCATGATGATGAATAGATGAGATGACATTAATGCATTTGATGCGTGGAGACATTCTATCGTGACTATCATGTAAACCGTTCCGTACACTCATTTCGTAAGTACCCCCCCTCCTCCCCTCTTCTCTCTGGCTCTCTTTTTTTCATTCATCTTGAAAAACTTCGTGGATATGCCCAACCGATAAAACGCCTTGCCAATGCAAATGAGAAACCCCAGAAAACGTGACCCGTGAAAATGCCAGTAAACGCCGATACATGAGCAAAAAGAGATACCAAAAACAGGAAACATTAGAAACCGAGGTCAACAATCAGAAAACCAGACTTTTTATCACTCGGCGGCGCGGGAATAGAATCAGATGCTTCGGGAAAAAGGCAGCGGAGATATCGGATCTGAGATGGTTCGAGAGGACTCCAATTCGGTCATCAAACCATCCCCATCATATCCCCCCTCGAAGAAGGCCTCCCAAAAGGCCCCTTCTCACCACCATCCCCCGTAAACCTCTTCAACCTTCTCACGCCAAGCCGCCTCCCCCCATCGCGAGTCGACTCGGCCGGGGCATACCCCAACACCCAAACACTCTGACTCATCCCCGCCGCCGCTGCCGACGCACCCCTAGCAGAGCTACCGGGCCCGGCACCAAGATACACGCGCAGCTTCTCCGCCGAGCGGGGCGCAGCCTGGAACGCCGGGTCCGCGGCGCAGTCCTCGTTGGCGAGGAACGAGAAAATCTCGGCGGGGCAGGTGACGGCGTGCGGGAGGCGGTATTGGTTCCGGCCGAAGAGGAGGGAAACGAGGGCGGCGAGGTAGAGGACCAACAAGGCCAAGATGACGGCGAAGACGGGGACGTTGGGGAACATGCGGACGCCGCTTTCTTGGGCGCGGGTGGCGGTCAGGGCCATGAAGAGCCCACCTGCGAGGGCCGGGAGGAAAGTGAGCAGGAGGGAGAGTGCGGAGAGCGCGGCGACGCGGTAGTGTCCGTTACGGAGGGCGTGCGAGGTAGATTGCAGCGGCAGACAGGCGGCGTAATCGGCGAGCACGGAGCGGGAGGCCAGCGCGCCGTCTGTGGTGGTGAGGAGGTCGGCCCAGGGCTGGAGGATGCGGAAGTGCTGCTCGAGGGACTGGAAGGCGAGGAGGAGGACGAGGCCGAGGAAGCTGGGGACGAAGCTGTAGAGGAAGTTTGCGGCGGAGAAGGCGCCTGCGCGGGCGGAGGAGGGTGCTGCTGGGACGCCTGGGCGGAAGCCGGCGGTGAGGGAGGTGCGGTGGAGGAAGGAGACTACGAAGAGGGCTGTGAGGAGGATTGTGGAGGCGACGACGTAGAAGAGGACTTGGGGGGTGCGGAGGGACCAGGGGAGCGTGTATGTTTCTACGAGGCTGGAGCGGTTTGAGGTGCGGTTTGCGGAGCGGCCTGCTAGGAGGGTTGATGTGACGGAGCGGCGGTCGTTGTCGTTTTCGCGGTCGTCTGTGGAGGAGGAAGAGGAGGATTCGTTCTTGATGTCGTAGTGGAGGTCGGACGGGGTATGGCCTTGGGAGTGTTCTGTACCGAGGCCGTACCAGGGGGTTTCTTGGTTGTTGTCCGTCATCCAGTAGCCTAGGCGGTCGACGATGCGGTTGCGGAGGAGGGAGCGGAGCTTCTTGCGCGTCGGGGCGACTTCTGCGCCGCGGTAGGCGTCGCGGGTATTGCTTCTGGCGATCATGACGGAGAGGTCTGCGATGGAGCGCGGGTCCCACATGAGGCCTGTGACGCGGTTGCGCCAGAAGAGGAGGAGGACGAGGACGGCGGCGAGGATGAGGATATACAGGGCCACGAGGGTCCAGACGACGCCCTTGACGGCGGTCCAGTACCATACGTCGACGAGGATGACGGTGAAGGAGGCGCTGGCGAGAGGGATCGCGAAAGCCGAGAGCCAGAGGATGGCGAGGGCGATTTTGACGTGGACGGGTCCGGCGAGCTGCGGGAGGAGAAGGGTCTTTGCGTAGAGGTTTTGGAAGAGGGCGTTGCGGCGGCGGAGGGGTTCGTCTTCGGAGAGGGCGGCGAAGGGGAGGATGCGGAGGGTTGCTGCTGCGACGCACTGGGTGTAGACGAAGATGAGGGAGGCGAAGAGCTGGGGGAGGATGCGGAAAAGGAAGTATTTGCCGCTGTAGATTGTCTCGCCGTAGGTTAGGAGGCCGGGTTGGATTGGTGAGTAGATGGCGGCGACCATGAGGCAGGCGATCATGATGAGGCAGAGCATCGTGAGGGCGATGAGGGAAGGGAGACGCAGGATCGCGGGGACGAAGTTGAGGCGGGGGTAAATCGCGCGTTTCTCGTCGATGGTGTCGATCTTTGTCATGCCTGGGAAGACGCTCTCCCTCTCGCTGACGGGGAGCCATTTCGGCGTGGTCTCGGTGGGGTTTGCGCCGGCCGGGGTCTGGGCTTGGTTGTGCTGATACCTCGAGTCTGCAGAGTGCGGCGGCGACATGGAGATGATGCGGGTGCCGAGGGACATGGAAGGCCTCTCGTTGCCGCCGGGGTTAGAAAGCGGCCGGGACTGGCGGCGGACCGAGTCCCGGGTGTGCGTAGGGACGGGGACCATGGGAGAGAAGCCGGAGTCAGGGTCGCCGCTGATGAGAGGGCTCTGAAGGTCGTCCGGGAGGTATCCGGCAGCTCGGTAGTAGCCGGTGTTCTCGGCCGGGGAGGGGACGCTGGATGGGGGGGAGAAGCCGCCGCTGTGGCCATGCTCTCTCGTCAGGGCCTCCAAGGCATAGCGGAGGTAAGGGGTATCGTCGACGCCGGGTGTGACGGAGCCGTTGGCGGCGATGGTGAGCTCGTCGCGGAAACCTTTGCCGCGGGCGCGGTTGGTGACCTCGTCGACGGCGAGCTGGGCCTCGTTGAAGTGGACCGCCGGCTGGGAGGTGTAAGGGTCCTGGGTCTGAGAGGAGAACATGCTGCCGATGACGACGGGGGCGGGGAAGTTGTTCTGCTCCGGGTGATACGGATTCGGGTGAAGTTGCTGCTGGGAGGGTGGTGAGGGAGCGTGGGGCACGAAAGACGGCGGCGGAGAGAGGGGATCCCGGGGGCTGGAGTCTTCTTCTTCTTCTTCTTCTCGCTCTACGCCGTGCGCATGATGTTGTCTTGCGTGGTGAGGGCGGAGGGTGTTTGGTGTGGATGAGTGTTGTGATGGTGTCTCAGCAGACCAATATTGAGGAGGATATTGGCCGCCTACGATGAGATTGTTAGTATGAAGTTAAGAAGGCGGGAAGACAGGGTTGTCGTGAGTTGGAGGGGGTGGGAAGGATGAGGGTGTGAAGGAGTTGCAGATGAAGCTGACGATGATGAAGCAGAGAGGGAAAGAGGAAGACGTGTGTGAGGGGAAGTATATGTGTGGGTGGGTGAAGGAGTGGGAAAAGAATGACAAGTTGCAATATAGGGTGTAGACATACGTTGATGTTGCACATAGGCATTGTCGGGATTGGCATTATCAGGATACATTGCGCCTTCGCCTTTCCTCCTATTTCATGGGTCGTCGTTGTCGTCGAGGATATCGTGAGAATCTCTCTGCAGCTGCTGCGGCGTGATGAGCCTCCACTTTGAAAGGAACCAATTACCAGCAAGAGTGAGGGCGGAGGTATCTGCAATAGACTGGTTGCATACGCATATCCGTACTGCAATAAGGGTCAGGGAGGGGGGGGGCAACAAGAGAGAAGGAGAGAAGAGAGGGAAGGCTGTGCATTGTGGTTGGGTGTATGGTGTGGGTGGTGGTGAGGTTTTTGCTGTTTGTTGAAAATGCGTGGTTGGGAAGCAAAGAAAAGCATGCATCATCAGGAGTTGTGACTGGTGATTGCACCCTTGGTTGGTTGCGATGGTGTTGCAGGTTGGAGGTTGGGAGAGAGCGGCGTTGCCCTCCCAGCCACCGAAAACCCCACCGAAAACCCTGGGGGTCCCGGGGGTCCCTGACGGGCGCTAGGCCCCGTAGCGCCCCGGATGCAGGAACCAGTGCCAGATTAGGAACAGAATAGCTTACCTTTAAGGTCGTCAGGAACAAGAAACGATGTCTTTGTTTTACATAGAGAGAAGAGATGGGAGGGAGGGAAAAAAAGACATCATTCAGATAATCACTGGAAAAAAGACTGAAAGTGTATCGCGTGATTGCAGTTCGTCCCATGTTGCTTTTGTACAACCAACAACCAACAAGCAGGGCAGTTTTCAGATGACAGAAACGGTACGTATCCTGCAGTACAGCTGTCCTGCATACACAGTAGGTACATACATGTCCCAACTTCAGAATACGATGTGCCTGACAACACACAAAACAACCCATTCGGGTGTCAGGAATTCTCTGCTTGGGACTCGCATCTGTGCCTGATAATGAGAGAGTGACACTTGGGGGTAAAGAACACCACGGACGGGGGACTCCACTCGGCGGCAGCAGGTTTCCATATCCGCTGCCACCTCTCCCGCCGACGACTCAACGCCACCCCTCATGACAGGGGCTCATTTCGAGTGGCTGGGCTGCAGGGGAGCCCGGCCGTTTGCTTACCTAAACATCTCTCAGTCCTCTCCTTCGTCCTTGATGCTGCTATTCTCCTCGTCGATTCTCACCTAACTATGAAACATGTTGATTGTCTCGAGCCAGACTTTGAACATCTTCAAGTATTTCTGCAGTCATATTTAGCCTTGACATGCCATGTCCCCGGACTCGGTGAGAGATGATGAGGCGGGTGTCCCAAGTGTTAGCTGCATGAGGCGCCCGAGGCCCAATCTTCACCGCCGGGCGCTTGTCAAACTCAAGACGACAGGTCTAGCGCTCTACTAGCAAACTGTCTTGCGTCTTTGGTCTTCACTCCACCAAACAAACACACTATCATGATCCGAATCTAGTTCCCAGTGCGAAACTTGTATCCCTATTCTTGATGTTTCTTCGCTTGAACCTTGGCATAACCTTTATGGTATCCATGCGACGGACAGTTTCACTCGTTGACTCAAGGTCACGGTCATTCGGGACTGATACGCGAGCACTTGAAGGATCCAACACCTCGTCCATATTGCCCCGCGCTTCCCAAAGTTGTGGTAACGACGGCAGTGAACAGCAAAAGGTTGATAATAATAATATACTGATTGATACCTTCCGACAAAAAAGAAAAATGAAAGGGACGAGACTCGAACTCGCGCGGGTTGCCCCACCAGGAAACAGATGTTAAGCTGACCTTAACCTGGCGCCATAACCAACTCGGCCACCCTTCCGTGTGGACCTATTCGTTGAATAGACGTGCTGTGACAATCCGTCTGCCAGAGCAAACCAAGACCGTCACGCAACAGTCAACGGTGTCAACGTCAATCCGTTAGAGACATCGTGGGCTTCCATAATGAACAACAGTGTTGAATTGACGCGATGCATGTGCATCCTTATTGCCTAGTTGCCTGTGCACTTCTAAACCAAGACTCCCTTGTCTATTAATGGCATCACTATCCGTACCCTCATATCAGACGAACTAAAGATTAAGTAGGTAGGTAAGTAAGTAGGTAGCACAAACCATTCCAGCTTCCGTGCAGCGAGTTTAGGCGTCAAAGCCAGAAGAGAGAGCCTGATAAGAGCGGCACGTAGGATTGTACTCCGCGTGGCCGCATATCCTGCTGGCAGGCAGCAGAACATCCTCGTCGAAACATGCAGGCGCTGATAGTAGTTGACGAGCTAGGGTAGTATCACCTATCGACCATGCACTGTTTTCCAGACGTATCATTTCGACTACCAAGACTGCGATGTGGAGAAACTAGACACCATGGTCCCGCCAGTTGTTTCTATCAGGGGCGATGTCTTGATACGAACTCTAGACTACGTCAATCGGGACACCTTCAACGGAAGCAAGATGGAAATCAACGGCTACACGGCGCCGGACCTTGTCAATGGATGCATTGTCCGAACACATGAGTGGGAAGGCAAAAAGCGACGCTCTGCATCACGGCATTCGAATAGCAGGAACGCTTTGGTCCTTGGGCTAGAAAAATCAAATCCAGCAGCGACAAAAATGACTCAAACATCGGGGATTACGTTTTCGAGCTTGACTTAGATGACACCGCGTTATCGACTCCGAAGAACCGTCAGACGCTATCTATCACGATAGCTTACACCCTCCTATGCGGCGAATCCACCGTGCCTCCTCAAGTTTCGCCAAAAGACATTTCCGAAGTTCTATATAGCACTTACGAGGCACAATCCATCACTGAATACCCTGAGCTATACTTCTGTCTGAGAAGAAACTTCGAACACATACTGTCTGTGTGCAGCATCCCAGTTGGGGATGGGAAATCGCCTGCCATTGCTTTCACATGTGGTGACATTGATGGCCATCGCATTAGTACAGCAGCTAGCTTGTAAGTCTATGAAATTTACGAATAACTAAAATATTTGACTCATGACGACATCTCAGCTACGAATTCGAGCTTTCATTACTGGCATGGTTTCATTTCCAACGCCGGATACACGAAGTATCAACCCTTGAACACGATGAGAAGCCCTCCCGCACAACGAGACTATGTTACATCCACAAGATGGCAGAACGCATCGAAAGGGTATGCAGGGGATATATAAAATGGCTTCTTGAACAAGCCAACAGACAGGAGAGGCTCTTCTGTGGGGGTTATTGGGTAAACGGCGACAAAGTTGAGAAGACCGACAACTTTCTTGCCAATACTCCTTTTCAGATTATTAAAATTGGAGACTTCTACGATGCGTTTGGGGATCTAGGGCAGAATCGTGGAGTTATTCAAGAGGTTGTCAACGCATGGATCGAAAACCTCCACGGAAGCAACAGGCTTGGGCTCTACGCGTTTCCCCGCGACTACGACGCACAAACGCAGACATTTTATCTCACCGATCACGCGTTAATTTGGCAAGCTCTAAGAGCTGCAGAACGGATGAACATCAAAATTGATTCTCAAGTTTCGAACGGAACGATTTACTCGTGAAAGACTCTCCAACAAAATATGCTAAGGAGATTCACTACGGAAAATCCGATGTCAAAAAAGCGAATGATTGCGGTAACTCGGAACATTGCACAAACTAGATTTGCATTCCGGTCTAAAGACTCCCCGCTGTTTCGCTCAATGAAGTTGGGCTTCTTCGACAAGCGCAACTCTGACTTGGAGAGTCAAAGCTGGAAGAACGAAGATTGGCAGTATCAGATCGACCCATGGATTAACATTGTCGATTCCCAGAAGTCTCATGAGGATAACGATGACACAGATTGGATGACCAACGGAGATTCGCTCTATCCATCATCATGGCACAACACGAAAGACGTATAAACATGCGACCAATAGAAGCCACTTTTGAGCATGCCATCGCCACCTTGATTAGGGACTCCGCAGCCTCCGGCTTATTTTCTGGAAAGATAAGCGGCAGACCGGAGATTGACTGGTACGACGACCATTCCAAACGAAACAACTACTGGGGGGCGGCCTTTGAGATTCCATACACATTGTGGAAGTACTGTCACAAACAGCGCAATCACACGAGCGCTCTAACGGAGTCGGCCATAGATGAAGGCTCTGGGTTGTTACGAATTATCGCTAACCATCTTAAATCGATATCCGACTCCTCTGGTCAAATTTACGCGCTCCTCAAGGGAACTCCTAGGCAAACCTCCTCAACGGAGCATCAGAGGTCAGATGTCTATTCAATGAAGAGGTACTTTCCATACGGCAACACGGTCGAGGTAGGCAACATTGTGGAGCTCCAAGATGATTGGCTCTATGGAGAACCTACATTTTTCGTCAAGCCAAAAGAAGTGGAAAACGATACGACTACTGGAGACGATATAGGCACTGAAGCCGGAAGTATCAGTTTGAGACACAATCCGAGCAACGATTTCTTTGCATATGTGGTTGACGTTCCAAGGCAGACGAAGACGGGGGAATTAGGAGAAAGGACCTCGCCGGAACCTAAGGTCGCAGCAGCATTTGATATAAGGCAATTGATGAAGGATGGAAGGACGCCGGCGAAAGCCAAAAAGAGGCTTTGGCAGTTTTTCTCCTCAAGGCCGTTGGGAAACAAAATCTGCCTCGAAACTTGTGCAGCCACAGAAACGGAAAGCATCGACACCTTTTTCAACAGGCACAAATCCTACTAAAAGTACTTCATAGAAGAAACAGCAGCAGCATTGAATTCTTGGACAACCGAGTTCCATTTGTTCTTTTACGACCTTGATTCACATAGCGGATGTGAGTTTGGGGGCAGTCGAGGGTGCGGCAGGCAAAAGCTCTCACCATGCCTGCTGCTGGGAGCCGAGGATCTAAAGAGAGTGAACTTACCAGAGTTGTCATGAGCTTCCAATTTGAGGGTGACTTTTGGGATCGATACTGGACATGTCGCGTATTGGAAGCTGACAAGCCAACTGCGAGGAAGTATCGAGAGGCTGCAAGTCAGGTATGGAACCAAGCTAACAAAGATTATAAGAGGTCTTACTTCCAGGCCGCCAGAAGGGTGAAAAGGACATTCATTGGGGATTACCCAAAAGTGAGCGGCACCGAATGGATCATGTCGTACCGATGGCGTGTCGATTTGATGGACGCCTTTAAGTTTGACCAAACTCCTTGGCAACGACGAAGAGTTCTGGAGCTCTTGTTATTCGAAAAGATCATCAGGCGCATGCATGAAGGCGCAAATAATATTCTTACCCAGGCGTGGTTGTGTATGTGCAGAAAGGAGGAGAGCACGTAGAACGAGGGAATCCCTGAGGAGGAGACCGAGGAACCAGACTACGACGCTCTCGACATCACAACGTACAGCTACTTCGTCACGACGAAGTTGATTAAAAAAGTTCAGCAGATTCTCCAGTTGGTAGAAGGAGATCTAGAAGAGAACATTGCACAAATCGTGCAGTGGGGAAACCGAGAAAAGGATAGAGACGCCGAGAAACCACGATGGACCTACCACGACGAGAGTCGATATCGTGCCACTATCAAGAAGTTGCTTGCCTCGAATGAACGTGCCGTTCAAAGAATTGAACGACGTGCTGGAGATATACAACGTTTCACATATGTGACCGTTGTATTCCTGCCTTTGGGATTCGCGACTGGTGTGTTCAGTATGAGTGAGGCACCGAGGCTCGAAACGCTTAGAAGTATGATCATCACTGCTGTGGTGGCCTTGACTATCACAGCATTCTCGCTGTTCGCTGCGAAACTTGCCGACGATGCGGGTCTGCTGAAGCTGCCAGCATTCATACACATAGTATGGGACATGTTCGTACAGTCGCGTCGGTTCGCGGGAGTGATGCAGCCCGAGTCTGAAAAGAACGGGGCTTTGGGAGTGAAAGGGCGGCTCGAAAGCAGTGAAGGAGAGGCCTGGACTGAAAGCAAAGATGATGGAATCGTCTTGCCGAATGAACCGAATCGAGTTAGTTATGGTCCTCTAGCAAATGACCTTCGCCATATCAATCCTCGAACGTCGACAAACTTTTACATAATAAGGTATCGTGCCTTTTCCGTTTTCGTTTTCGTGATTAAGTTTTGTCCTTGATATCTGGATCGTCATTTTAACTTTCAAACTCAGCCCGTGCCAACCAACCTTCAGCAATGTAGGCTTAAAAACACCAGACCCACGACGGCATGTGGGCCAACATCACAAGAACGCAGAGGCAGTTATTGATCAAATCATCACTTTGGTATTTGGCAACTAAAATTTCAACGCGAAAAAGAGAAACACCGTAACTCTGCCACGACTTAGCAAGTAGAGCCACCCTTGCAGTGCTCCTCGCACTTGGCCCTCCACTCCTTGCCGCCGAGTCCCTCGAACGTCAAGAACTCGTTGCCGTTGTTGTACACGGCATAACATTTCTAGAATTTTTCCGCAGTGAGTCACCGTAAAATACAACGACCTCTTGATCTCAGAGGGGAAAAAATAAACTCACGCCATCCTTGACTTGGGAAAAGACGGTATCCTCGTGGCCCTTGGGCTTGTTGAAGAAGACACCGGCGCCAGAGTATGCGTTGCAGGCGACCTCGAGGCATGTGCCGTCGCCCGTGTTGCACTTGCAGCCGACGTGGGTGTTGGCGGCGACCCTATTGTTTGCGTTGTGATTAGTAGATGCTCAGGGGACTTGGAAGTTGAGAAAGGTAGACATGGTGGTGCTTACATGTAGGGCAGAACAACTGCCAGAACGAACTTGGTGAAGTGCATCTTGAAAAGAGAGTGGATGGCTAGTATGTTGTGAAAACGAATATAGAGGCTGCAGAATGAGCAGGTAAGGCGATGATGACTGCAAGCTATTTCCAACTCTACAGGCGAGAATCGATTCCTCTTTATAACGAGCACATTCCTCTTCAACTTCACAACTGGAACGCCGAATATCTGGATGATGGATCTCTAGAGTACACTAGTTTCTCTACAATGATCTACTTAGATTAAGCCAGTTTGAAGTCAAGCTCTATGTCTAATTCCATATTCCTACGGCCCCTAGACTCGCGCAACTCGCCTCATTCATCATCAACTGCAGTTCCCACAACTTCGCACAGCGATCGCGGCCTGGCTCTAGCCCTACCAGGCTTAGAGGCTTAGACCCTCTAATTTGGAGAATCTGAAAAAAAAGGAGTCGTTTGATCTTGCGGTACATAGTTCATCTCGTGGGGCCTGTTCCTGAGTCGGACGAGATTGGATACATGTGGAGAGCGTCCGAGCAAAAGATAATCGAAATCCCAATCTCTATCTGGTGCGGGAGGCAGCAGAGTGCAGCAGAACACGGATAACCTAATCGAGATAATGCACGACTCAGGCTTCCCAAGTTTTAGAAACTTGGATCCGTACAGCGGACTACTCCATATTGAAATACTCGAGCCTAAATCCCGTTACTCTCCTTTCCTGTGTACGGATAGCCCGTGCCTTGGCCGTACGGAGTACTCTAATGGGAAAATCTCTCGGAGCCGGATTGGTCCGTAGCGGGTTTTGCTCTATAGCTCTAGGACGTTACAAGCCAGTACGCCCGCCAACGGGTGATCCGAACGTTCATCTTGTGCTTCAGCTACCCATCAACGCCGGATACATGACTAAGTCTAGCATGCAAAAAACAATTCGGTAGCCTAGAGCCCTAGACTGGGGGCGCAAACTTAGGAGTAAAGACTGTATGGCGCAGCGAAATGCCAGGGCTACGCCCAATCTATCTTACGCATAAGCTATTCTGGTTCTCAAACTTTGGACCACAATTTACACTACCGAGCTATAATTATGAGTCTGTGAGAAACATGGTATCCCGCGTCGCTGTCCGTCAAGACCCCGAGCTGAACCTTTCCTTGGCGTAGACGGGAGATATAAGGCGTCTCTAGCAGCGCAGTCGATTGAAATGATTTCTCATCACGATCATCCAAGCCCCTCATTCTTCGGAACGGTGAGGTCCTTTGGAGAGTCCTATTGCGAAGGCTATGCCTCCTCCTTGGTTGTTTCTGTCGGAAAAAAAAGACGCAGTGACATCCGCGACCACATTCGTTTAAGCTGTACTGTCACTTCAATTCTACGCTTGCTGGCGACCGCGGATGTCTAGAAGCCACTGCAGTATGAAGCCGTCGCTGCTGCAATCACAGCAACAGGCTCAACAACCGGCAGGCTGGAGTCTGGATATCTTCAACACGCGGTATTATTGCACCTGCGCGGTAGCAGCAATCGACTAGAGCCTCTCGAAAACGGACCGGCGAAGAGATCCAAGTTGGACTGGTTAGACGCAGAGACTGCGCGGAGGGCTTTTTGCCGGGCGGGCCTCTTCCGCTGTGGGGCCGAGAGGCCGGGACTCCGGAGTGGCTTGGGTGCGCTCGTTCGCCGGGACGTCGGTCACGTCCAGAGTCATCCCATCAAAAGGGCAAACAAGCATAACCCCTCTCGACAGAATGACTTCACGTATGGGCTGACATGCAATTCTACGCTCTGAGCGCTTTCCAGTGGAGACTCCTTCTTAATTAAACGGCATCTGGAAGAGATCTTAAGGTAATTCAGGGCATGTAAGGCCTTGTGATTGTTATTCTATGAAGAATGGCGACCCCATTTTGCTTCGTACTACATATCATCCTGACGCCTATCGTCATTACCACCATCCACCTGTTCTGGGTATATTCTGTGCTGGAATCGTCATGTACTGAGTACCTGTATCCTGACCAATTGATACGCTGCCGCTGAGTCAGTATAAATCAAGAATATGCAGGCTCTCCAACTCGACTCACAGCTTCTTCATTCTAGAGTCTTGATCTCTCATCTACGGCCGGCAGTAAGTGCAACGAGCATGGGTGCACGCTACAAACGCCTCATTGGGCTTGTTGTTGGTATCGCAGTACTCGTAGCACTCCATCAGGTTCTTGTCGGGGCAGACCTGTGCGCTGGCGAAGGAGAGGCCAGCTACGAGGATGGATAGGACGGGTGCGAGCTTCATGATGGCGACTTGTCTCGAGGTGTTGAGGGGCTTTGGAAGACTCTGAGGAAAGATCCTGCTTGCTGGAAGGAGGGGGGCTGCTTAAAGGGCTAATTGTCGACTTCCCCTCTCGCCTTCTTATAAGCGGACATGTCCATACAAGATATCATAGTTCATTTTTGGGAATACGCTCATAAGTTGTAGGGTGCGGCAGGGCCGGTGTTGATGATTTCCCCGAGTCGGGAATCATGACATTCGCAACCCGGCTCGGGAAATAACCACGCGTGGAGCAAACAAAAGCCAGGGCCTTAATCTAATGCTTTGACACATGAACACATGATAGCCCGTTATGACTGGGGACAAAGCTGGAGTCGAGCCTATGGCAAACTGTCTAGCCATAGAACACGACTCAAAGCCCCAGTCTCCAGCACGGCTGTACGGCGCAGGGCCCAATGTCTAGCATTGGAAATGAACTTGCGCAGTAGTGGCGAGAAGGCCGTGCTTCGAGTTACGAGGGATCATCATCTCAAGGTTCATGACTATAATCTGTACTAGGGCGTCACCACTGTTTTTAAGATTGCCAAGGCGACTTTTTTCTCCGGGAATAAAACGTCCACCAGGTGTCTTGATTTTCAACGGAGAATCAACGCCGGTGACCGAGCGTTTGACAGCGTGGGCTGTTGAGCCTAGTCGTGATCAACCCAATCAATTTCCAAAGAATGGAGACATCAATCAAAATCCCAGGTCCTCAGTCATCTGATTACAAAACACATAAAGAGGTGCCATTGACAAACTACGCTGACGTTCAAGACATCCTACAACTCTTCGCTCTGACCGCCCTCCTCTCCCACCTCAAGGAAGCGGACCAGCCGCCTCTTAAGTTCCTCTACACTGATCTTCTCACCACTACTCCTCTCAACAATATCTTCCTCAGACGAGGGCGACGACAATAACAGCGGCGGCGCTGGAGGCAGAAGTACCTCATCCAGGATATGCACAACGCCATCCCTGACCGGCACATCTCTCGCTGATACCGCCGCCCCATTGACACTCATCTTGACTTCTACTGGCCACCCACCGCCGCCCGTACGTCCCGCGCGAATACTCGTATCCGCGCTGCGAAATACCGCCGCCTCGACCGAGAGCGCGACTCTCGCCCCGTCGAGCAAAGTCTGAATCTCCCGTAGCATCTGCCCCACTCCGTCGGCGTCTTCCCCGAGCTCGTCACCCCCGTCGGTCTTCATCTTCATCTCCTCTTCCATCTCCTTCGCATCGTCTTGGACATGGTCTGTATAAACCACCTCACCAACAAAATGATACTTCACCAAGGCCTTCAGAAACCGCCCTCCGTCCGGGGAAGAGAAGAGAAAGTCCATCGCTTCCTCACCCAACTTATCCCACGCATCATTTGATGGCGCAAAGACCGTGAGCCCTGAGCCACGCTGCAGCAAAAGCTCCTCGCCCACGCCGCTCCTCTTCATCGCCTTCCCAAAAGTCCCCAGCGTCTCCTCCGCCAACGCACCAACAAGCACATCCCACCGCGGCGGCGGGATCAAAACCTCATCAACAAAGTGCACAATACCACTCCCGGTCTCTCTAGATTCAGAAGCGAGCACCCGGGCGTAAAAGTTGACTTCAGCCCCCGATGACCCATCCGCGATCCTCACCCTTTGCCGCTGCCGCCGACGGCCGTCACCGACTTCGAGAACCGTCTCCGCCGTCCGCAGCCCACGGAGGTCTTTGGCGGTATACCGCCCCGTAAGGACGTGGTACTCGAGAATCTCGCCCAGCAGCTCCGCTCGACTATGTTCCAAAACGCCCTCCAGCTTCTGAAAGGCCGAGTCCGTGGGGACGAAGATTGTGGGTTTCTGTTGTTCCTGCGTGTGCTCGTCGTTGTTGCCGATAAGCATGTCGTGGATCTTGTCGTATGTGTCAAGGAGCGTGGTGAAGTATTCGGTCTGTATGCTGCTCTCCTTGATGATCGTCAGGAGATTCTTCCCTTCGTCTGCCGCACTAAGATGACCTTCGTGCTGATTTGTTTCCGGATCGCTATTCGCTGTTTGTTGTATACTCAGGGCTACCAGGCCAGTCTCGGCATCGTCGGCGCCGGCTGAATGTCCCATCACACGTCTACCAGCCCGAGCCACAGCCCCAGCAGCTTGATAAAACATGCCGCCGACAGCGTTGACTACATCGTCGAGCGACGACCTGTCATCACTCCATACCTGTAACCCGTCCCGATTTGAAGTTTTCGAGCCCACATTCTGAACTTGTAAGGTCGATTGCTCGGGTGTGACACTCTCTGGAAGACTTAAGGCCGAAGCAGCCGCAGCCGCCAAAGGTAAGACACAACTCCCCTTCATATCCTCGCAATCTTCGGTACCCAATTTCAAAGCCGTATCTACAGACGTTGGCGAAGGATCCAATGACGAGTGAACGTGACGTATAAGCTTCTCAGAGAGACTTCGACGGAGAGAAGTAGACGGGTTGAAACAGATTTGTATTCGACACCCCGTGGGGAAGTACTCGCTCCCGACCATAGTCCCTATATAATAATAATTGTGATAAATTCTTCAACAAAGAACGGGGCCTGAGACATCGAGACCTTGATGAGACACATGCATAGGAGGGGCGCTGATGCTCTGGGCTCCGCTGATGTAGACTTCTCGGACGGAGACATAGAGGTTCCCGTCCACCCCCGGGCGGGCGGGCAGCAGCATCACGGCGGGCCATCAGGGTCCGCATATGCGATGCGGTGACTTTTGACGTACACCGCACCGTGGCGGCTCTGCATGTTGTTCCACTTCTTCCCGGTACATGTTTATTTCCAGACCCATCGTAGACTGTGACTGGTTAAACATGTGAAAAACGTTGTCTTGGCGGTTTGTATAGGACAACAAGGTTGCCGTCACCTGAGTCGATGAAAATGCCAGGTCCAAGAGGCATGATGGATTCCTAGGCTTCGTGTGTTGGTCCGGGGTCGGAACGAACCCCCAGACTGTTTCGAGTCTCGTCCTCTCTTGTCTCATCTCAGAGATGCTCGACTTGGAAATGTTGCTTTCGAGCTCTGTGGCTCAACTCACACTCTCGGGCCTCCAAACCCGCCAACGACCCGAATCTCTCCAACCCTCTTCTCCGCCGCCTCAAACGCATCAACAACCCGCCCGCCTCTAACATCAACAACACCCCATCTCTGCTCTCTGCTCTTCCTCGCGCCTCTCTTCTTCCCTCCCGCTCCCGCTCCCGTCTCGTGCTCCCAAACCCCAATCTCATCAAGAAGAACCTCCAAAGCCCAGACAAACCTCACCCCTGCGCCATCACCCTCCCCTTCCCCACCACCATCACCAGGCGCAGCAGCATACAACCTCTCAGCATCCTTCTTATCCCTAGGTATCTTGGTACAAAGCAGGTGCAAATCAAGAAACTGCGAAAACACAAGCCCAAAGGTAGGTTTATTCCGCCTCGACGCCGCTTGGTTTCCACCGTAGCCGTAGCCCGTGATGTTCAACGCAGGCGGGTTGAAGATTGATCGGAGGGTCGGATCCACCGCCTTACTACTGCTGCTCATGCCATGTTCTCCATTCGGCGGTGGCGGCGGTGGACCACCTTGCACATTCGCGGAGGTCTTGGATATCGCCGACTCTTTGGACGAGCTCGTGCTGTTGAGGAGCATGATCAACGGGCTAGTCTCTAAATTCCTGGATAGATACCGCAGGTGGGAGGATAAGTGCTGCAGCGAGTCGTGTGCAGATTGACGGTCGCGGCGGGTGAAGAGGGCCGTCATGAGGCTGTGGAAGTGGGTGATGAGGATGATGTCCGGCAAGGCTGGACCTTTCGAATCGTCTTCTGATGATCTGCTCTCGGGTGCTGCCACGGCTGGAATCGCGTCGGGGATCTCGTCTCCTGTTGGTCTGCTCGCTGTCTCCTCCTCGTGAGGCTCTTCTGTGACTTGTTCTGGTATTTCTTCCGAGCTGTTATTCTGTTCCACCCCTGTGCCTTCAGTGATTCCTTCCTCTTCATCCGCTCTCTCGGGAGACTCTGCGGCCGTGAAGGGTGTCGGGGACCGAATCGTCGAAGGCGGCGGCGACAGCGAAGATGACGAAGAAGATGGCAGCGAGATGGCGTCGTCCTCATCGTCGCTGTCGGCGATCTCTGTCCTCGTATACTTGATCGGCTGAGGCGGCGGCTTGAGTTCCGGCAACACAATCCTCTCTGGCGTAGTGTGTCCCTTCGACGAGATCGCCGCATCCTCAGCAGAAACTTCCACACCAACCAGGCCTTCCGCGACCCCTTCATCCTTCGTCTCGCCCACCGCATTATCTTCATCGTCATCATCCTTCTCCAACCGCTTCTCCCCAGACGGTGCCCGAAACCCCGGCGGGGAGGAAGAGACCCGCGGCTCAGGACTGTCGGGCGGAATGTCCAAGTCGCCGAGAACCTGCCACAAACCCTCGAGATCAAACACCCTCGAAACAGAGACTCTCTCCAGACACCGCCTCAACCTCGTCACAACATCCGCATCCGCCTCAGCGGTGCCGCGCACCATGAGCTCCGTTCGAATAGCATTCCTCAACGGCGGGAGAATAGCCGCAGGAGGCTGCGTCGTGACAATCACCACCCTCGCTCCCTTGCCTCCTCTGTCACTTACAGACTCGTCTCCGCATAGCGTCTTCGCCAGCGCCTGCATCGAAATCTAGAAACAAACAATGTCAGCCGAGTCCCCCCCACTCTTCAAACCTCATGACTCTCCATGTTGATATAGATCAATCCCACCATAAGACCACCGACAGAGCAAAACACCATAAAACTCACCAGAATTCCCATCTGCTCACTCTCAGAACTAAGCCCAACAACACTCCCCCTCTCGAACCCGCCACCAAGAACCTCCTCATCGACCTCCCGGCTCCCAACATGCACTTTCCCCCTCGCCATCGCCGCGTCTCTCCGCTTCGTCTCCCGACTGCAGAGAACGGCCGCGGAAACTGGCTCGAGAGGGAAATGCGAACTCGCCTGCGACGCTGGAAAGACCGTCATCTCACCACCGCCGTCATGGCTGCCGGCTCCTGCCATGGTGTGTTGTATGCCTTTTTCCCTTCCTTCCTCGTCGGTACACGCACGCCTGGGGCTCACCGTGGCCTTGGACGTCCTAGAACGAGACAAATGACAAAATCGAAATGTGTCATTTCCATGTCATTTCAACTTTTGTTCATTTCGTCGACTTTGGCGTTTGCATCCCCAGAGCTTGAATAATGCTGGTGAGAAAGGTATCGTCAAGTCACATGACAGCAGCTGTCGACAGTTGCGCGGACAAAATTCCGGGTTCCAGGCTAGGGAGGAGCTGATGTAGGTAAATTCTCCGCTGGAAATCTCGATCAGGTCTCGGCGCTTTCAGGGCCAACAGGCACAATGGACAGGGCCTTGTCAGCCACCTCAATGACATCACCCCTGTGTCTTGCATGATTGTCACTCATGCAGCCTTCTTCACTCCTTACCTTATCTTACTCAACACATCCCCATCCGGACTTCGCCAGACCAAAACCTTGCTAGGGGGACTAGTCATGCTTTCTGTGCTTTTTCGTGTCAATAAGCTGATCCCTTGTTCCAAAAATACCATGCACATGTTATGCTGTCATTGTCACTATCACCGTTGAATGCACTGCACATTGCCAGTGAGGGCCACGCGAGGTTCAATGTTCTCTATTTTCAGTAAAGCTAATTCATAACAATCTGCCGACGGACTGTTGAATGCCTGCTCTATGCCTTCCCTTTGTGTAAAGTGCCTCTGCCGGCCCTGGAATATTTGTAGCAAAAGAGGCAGAAAATGAGGCTCGTTTCCTCCCAAAGAAATATGATTATTCACGAGAAAGGTATCACTTGTCGGGTGGTGTGAAAATCCAGACGCATATGTGCGACCGCCTCCGCCCTGACACTCGTAGTTCTCGTCCTGGTGGCTTCTCCAAGAGCCACCCAGCCCAATTCGAGATCCCAACCGTATTGACTCCCTCCTCAAATGATCCAGAACTCGATATTATCGGATCCGTAGCCCAATGTGTTCGCATTGTAACCAGATTTGGCTCAAACAACTTCACGTTGTTCGTTCTTGGGGTGCATAGACTACACCCTTCCCCTTTCTTGAAACTGATCGCCTTGAAGTGAGGCGTTTAAAAAGTGACAAGGACTCTCCCCGCCGTATGCGTTCGCATTCGTCTTCGTGTGTCTTTTGCTGCGACTCGATGCGCTCGTGTCCAGCTTCCTAAGTTCTGCGTGACCACTAGGCAGCAGTCCCAGGCGCAGGAGGGGGTGCCATTGCATCAGAAGCCTGGCGTCTTCGACCACCCTTCAGACTCTTGACTCTGGCCATGAAGCCTCCGGAAGGCTTGCTAGGTCCATCTTCTGTCGGTGACATAGCGTCAGCTGTGGCACGACGCTCAAGGCCATTGGCGGAGCCGCGTCGGGGCACTGGGGGAGGTCCACCAGGCGATCGGGTACCGTTATCAGCTCGCTTGACAGAAATTGTCTCCGGCTCCTTTCCATACTCCGAAAAGAAGGGGTTACGCTCGCCAGTGTACGAGATGCTGCTGGAGGGTCCATTGGCATCAGGGGATCGGCGAGAGGTGTATGCTCCCTCGGGGTTGGTGATCCGACCAGAAGGACCATATTCGCGAGGCTCCCGCTTCATTCCACGAATACGCTGGGCAATGGACTTGCTGCGCCCAAGGCCTTCGGAGGTCGACTGCTGGGCTTGCTCAGCCTGAGTCTTCTGGATGGCAGCACGGGCAGCAGGAGTGCCCTCCAAGAAGGTCGAAGCACCGAGGCCCATGGATTCCTCTCCGTAAACAATCGAACCGCGAGATCGGGGGTCGAAAAGTGCGGGATCGTTCTTTCGCTCGGCAAGTCTCGCAGCAGTTGCAAAGTCTGCAGATGCCTCGCCGTCGTTGTGGCCCATGAAGACAGCATGGTCAGGGCGCTTATTGAGGGGACCGGAGCCGCCAAGGGACATGTTGAGGGAGTCCTTGGCAAAGGCTTGCATCGGTGCACGTCGGCTACCCTTACGATTACGGTGGGGGTTGGCTGCGTCGAAAGGACCATCGTGATGGAATACTACATGACATTAGCCTTAGGAACTCCATCAGAATTGTCGTTTACTCACGTCCGGTACCGTAGATGCTGGTGGCATCCAGTTGGTCGATGATGTCGATTTTGCGACTGGGCTTCTTGGGGTCCTTATCCTTTCCTTCCCGGGCGCGGCGCTCTCTCTCCCGACGTCTAGCTTCTTTAGCCTTCCTCTCTTCGTCGGTAGGTGACTTTTCGATATCAATCAGAACGGACGACTCGGAGTTTCTGCGCGGTCGGCGTTCCTGAGGTCGGCGTTGGGGCGATCCTGGGGCTCCGCCAGGTCGGGGAGGACCACCGCTGCCCTGAAGGCGTCGCTGTCTCATCGCCTCCTCCTGAGATCTCGACGGGCGGTGTCCGGGTGGCGGAGGACCGCGACGAGCTCCGGGCGGCACGTTCTCACGCCCTGGCACTCCAGGAGGGCGGTTCGTCGGAGGTCGGGACTGCTTCTGATCGTTAATGGTGAGACCATCCTGTCGAGCGAAATGTCAGTAAGTTGACAAAGCCTAGCGTACGCGCGGAAATGATTCGACTCGCGCCCGAGGGATCGATATGGGCTGCATCAATTGATTGATCGGGGGCCACGTACAAACAGCTCCTCAGCGGTAGGCGATGCCTTGTTATCCAGCGATTTCGACATGGTGCCTGCTCCGATCAAATTCGGTTGACTACTCGAGTATGATGGATCGAGGAATGGGTTGCGCGAGACAGGTCGGGGAGGGTCGTCAAAAGGCGAAGCGGGCGAGGTGGTATTCGTAGTGCCGGAGAGTAGTGGGGAGGCAGCGCGGTTGCGAAAGGGGTTGTTGGATGAGAGATTAAGCGTTAAGCCAGCACCAGCAGATTTGCTAGGTTGATGGCCTATTCCAAGGAAGTAAAGTTAGCACTCGATAGGAGGAAGGAGAGAGACAGCGACGGCTCCGTGCATGCGAATGACGGCGAGGGGGGAAGGGATATGAAACATGAGGGAGGTATACATGACACAGCAGGTTCAACAACTGGGTGGAGCGGGCGCGGTGCTTGCGTTTGCTTGGGCGGCAGTGCAATCCGTGAGAAAGGGCGGCTCTCTTCCCGTTGGACAGGGCAAAAGTCAAAGGGGGGGAAATCCGGGAAGATGGTGGCAGGCATTGAAAGGGGTGGGTGGGAAGAGGGATGAAGGTTGGGTAGGATAGGACATGCCGGCGCATATTCATCCCCTACATCCATATCAATGTTTGATTCTTGGCTTACCTGGCTGTGCTGATTGTGTAGACATTTTGGCTGTAGTTTGTGAGGTGTACCGTGTGGGATGGTGTGGTACCCGCGACGGGAGGGATGACCAGATGAGAATATGGATAATGATGATGGACAGGCGCGTCGTATTGAAAGTCAAGGGATCGGCCTTTTTTCCCGCGAAAAAAAGGGGAGCTATCCGACCGATTGAGGAGAGAGCGGCGAGCGTTGCTAGCAAGCTTGATTTTCTTTGGCTGTCAAATGGCCGTTCCTAGCGTCATGCCTCTCTGCAGGGACAAACAACAACGGGGGGGACGGGTTTTTGGAGGAGCCACCCGACGGTCCCTCGGCAGGTCACTGTGCGTTGCGGTGCGCGGTGAATGTGTGTGTGGCAACGTGCGGGCAAGCAAGCTGCGGTAAGGTAGAGGGCGGTCGGGATTCAGAGTCGTAGGTGGGTGGGTGCGTGGGTTGGAAAGAAGAAAATAGGGGTGAATTGTAATATCGTAGATCCTCGATAATAGTCGGCAATGCGCGTCTGTCTGGTTTGTAGTGCAGCGCGGTGCCTTTTTCTCCTGCTGGATCCGACGTCAGCTCAAAAAAAGTATTCCTTTGGGCCTGGAGGGGGTGAATAGGTTTGGGGGGATGAATTGATTATCGGATAATGGATTGGATCCAAATCATCCAATTCAGGGGGAGATTGCTGGTCTGCCGGGAAGCGAGTAGTTTGGCTAGGTGGCTAGGAATTTTTGGGTGGTAAAGTGGTGGATCTGGGGTCCACGCACCATCCACGACTGCGAGGATGAAGGGGTTTGGCTGCTTGGGTTTGGACAGGATTGGGCGGGCACTCGACCAAAAGGCTGGATGATGCCGACGACTGGATGAACGCGCGACAACCGAGCCAAGCAGCTGTCTGAAGAGTGGGCCAGAAAGGGAAATGCAAGCTCACCTTCTCTTTTGACCTAGGTTCGTCCGTTGCTCTTTTTTCTTTTTTGGTTCAGTCCACGTCCTTGTCAGAGGTGCGGAGCAACGTCGTCTCTCCTTCAAGAGGGCGTTTCGACGGGTTAATAAGTCGATACTAGGTAAGTCAAGCTGTGCGATCGAGATACCCCAAAAAATGATCCGGGGCGGTGGTGAGTGAGGGTGCTTGACAGCTCGTTACAGTCGCTGGTCTGATGTGACACGGGCTCGGTGCGCCTGCGGACCCGGTTTGTCCCAAATTCTGGGTCGCTTTGATGTGGTCAAGTCGGACGAAGGTCCCAACGGGATTGGATCGCGCTCTCGAACCCCAAGTCGTCAATAGTTGGCGCTGGGCGTGTACTGTATTCCCTTGATCGGGATGACCGTGTCTCTGCGAAGCGAGACGTGACAGGGAAAAAAGAAGGTGCAGTATTTCTGGGGGGATGATAATGTGATGTCGCTGTTCCTAGTCGTGTTCGGACGCTTAGAGAATGCGGGTGGTCTCTGGATATGAGATGCGAAGTCGGATGAGATGGTGAGTCGAGATGAAGGCAAATGGATGAGAGAACGGACGAGACGTTGAAGCGAGAGACGTGATGCTGCTTGAGAGCCCGTTCAACTCGAGAGGATGTCGGCGAAAGAAAAACGAGGGACGGGTGCAGGGCAGTGGAAAGTCCGAAAGTCCCGTGAGGCAGGTGAGGCCGCTGGTCCACTCGTCGAGGGGAAGGGGAGCTGCGAGGCGGAAGAGGAAGGTACCTCCCGTTGATGGCAAGAACAAAGGAAGGAAGGCGCGAGGCTTAAAACTCGAGGCTTGGTGTTGAAAGGCAGGAAGCACTCCACGAGTCGTTGAGCAAGTGGAAGGAGGTTTCTACCTAAACCTAGGTAAGGTAGCTTCGAACGGGAAGGAAGGACTGGGTGATCGAGTAAGAGGAAAGAAGGAAGCCACAGCTAAGGCAGGTGAAGTGGGCAGCTGAGGAGGGGCAG